GTGCTTCTTGGCATGGGTCTCCACTGTATCGCTTCTCCTTCTCCCGACTCGGGGGCGCGCAAACATGGATTAGCGATCCATGGATTTGGAGCGCGGTCGCCAAATCCATGGATCGGGGGAGGTGCCCTCCCCAGGATGCGGCTGGTGCCGCCTCGCTCGGCGGCGGAAATCGGCGACTTCCCTCGGAAACGGGGCCCGTCGCTAGTCCACGCCCCCTGCCTCCATGTGCTGCGATCGCCTGACTCTCCTCCTCCCGACGTTGGAGCCCGGGCCCCCCGACCAACGCCCCCCCCCACGGCCGCTGCCCGCCGCGGCTCCCTCGGCGCGGGCCGCCCGCGCCGCCCTCTGCCGAGCCGGGCGGCGGCGGGGACGCGGCGCGAGTGCCCCTCGGCGCGAGGGCCCCTCGGCGGGGCGCCTCGGCCGCCGCGCCCCTCGGCGCGAGGGCCCCCTCCGGGCGGGGCCCCTCGGCGGCGCCCCTGGGCGGGGCGCCCCTTAGCGGCGCCGCTCGGCGGCCCTCCAGCGGCCCTCTCGCCGCGCCCCTGCCGCGGCGGGCAGCGACGGCGAGCCGGCGTCGAGGCGGGCTGGCGGGCGGAGCTGGCGGGCGGAGGGGGAGGATGCCGCAACGGGACTCGGCGAATCGCCTCACGTGAGGTTGGGTTGGCGGGGGGGAGAGGAGCCCAGGCTCGTCTCGGGTGGAGCGGAGCAGGGGGGGGGACACGTGGATATCGCAAAGGAGCCCTGACTTGTCTCGTAAGACGAAACCAGAACAGGGACAACATCGGACTGGGGTCTCTCAGATCCGACGGGTCTGGAGGATGCATCGGACGCCGTGGCCTTCTAAGACTGTTCTGGAACGGTCTGAGCTCGTTCTGGAGCGCTCTAGAGCGATGTGTCCCTGCAGCCCCGCCCGATAGCGTGTCGGGCGAAGCGGGAGGGAGTATCACAAAGGGGGGGTTGGCAAATCGGCTCACGTGGGCTGGTTATCCCAGCCAGCGCCTCCCTGCGCCGGTGGCGCCCATGTATCGAGGAACACCTCAGCGACGGCATGGGCGATTCCAGCCGCTGGATACATATGTACTGGTCCGCCCTGGACTAGCGGCCCCAGCTGCAGCCGCCGAACGTCTGGCGGACTGAATATCAAATCCTGGTATTCTTCCTCTTTCCCGAACGTCGGCATCCAGGAGCCGTCGTCGGGCCCCGGGGCCCAAAGGAACATCAAACACTGAGCAAGGCGAAGACCTGCCCCCCAGGGAAGGGTTCGTGACCTCTCGGGCCGACAGGTGGCACAACACCAATCCGTCGGTGTCCGTTGGGGGGACGGGGCACGGTCGCACTCGCTCCCCCCCGTGGGGTTGCGAAGCGGAGTGAGGTGAGGAACTGCAGAACGGGTGAGGCGCTTGCCGTGAAAGAGACGGGTCCTGGCGGAAACGGGTCCGGGGCCCCGGGCTTCCCCTGGGAGCCGAGCCTTCATCCTGACTCAGTTGCCTGAAAGCCCAGGGGCCCGGGAACGGCCTCTGAAGCCCAGGAGCAAGGGCAGAGCACGGCCAGACCCCCCTCCCCCCGTTATGTGGACCCCAGGTGGTCACCCAAACGGACATCCGAAGGAGGGGACCATGGGGGAGGACGAGGAGGAGAAAACGGAGGCGACACGCAAGGGACGAGAAGGGACGAGGCGCAGGGAGGGGGCCCTGGGGGGGCGGCAGAAGGAGCGGTCAGGCCGCGCCCCTTCTTCCCCGGCGTGTCCTGTGCCGGCGCGCCTCCGTGCTCGCAAGAGGTTCCGCAAGCGAGGCCGCCTCACCGTGTTGTGCTGACTTGCGCCTTGCCGCGCGTGCGTTTCGCGAGAACTTGGACTGGTGGTTCGTGGACGCATCCGGCGTCATGGCCATGGTACACCCGTCGCTGCAGTAGCCGCCGTACTCGTAACCCACGATGTGGGAGTAGCTGTAATCGTCGTTAGTCTCAGGCTTCGCGCTCCACATAGATACGCCTTGCCGAGACCATGCCATATTTGATGACTCCAACCGCTCTTCGAGTATGTATCGTTGATGTGGATGTCGAAGTGATTGCACGCCCTGTTGACCACCCAACTATACAAAGGAAACAAAACTGCCTAAACATAAACTTCCGAGACTCCGCGCGGATTGCTTGGATCCGCGCTGGACCTCCCCCCCTGGCGCCGGAGGCGCCGCCAGGGGGCGCCGCCAGCGCCGATCCAAGAACTCCGCGCGGACCTCGACAGCTGATGTTTATGCAATTGTTGGCCCTCATCCACGCGGTTGATCTGGCGGCGCGCAGAGGGGGGTCGGGGGAGGAGGGAAGGCTTCTGAGAAGGAGGCTGCTCCTCAGAAGGCGCAGGCCCTCCCCCTGCCCCCCCCCCCTGCTCGCCATCGCTCGGACGTCCATTCCCTGTGTGTTTGTTCGGTGTCGTGCGTGGCTTCTTCGCCGAAGGATCAAGGATGCTCCTCGACGGTCCTCGCCGGAGGAACAATGCACACGCCCGCCGGCCGCGTCTGGCGCGAGGCACGCCGGCCCTGGATCGCCCATAGCGAGCACGGACATCTGGCACTGCCTTCTTCGTTCCATCTCATCCGGCGGCACGTCGTGTGCTTCCTCGTTGATCCAGAACGCGTGGTTCTGCCTCAGGAGCTGCTCGAACAGATCCCACGACGGTCTGTCGGACCTTTCGTGGTATAGCGACCAATCATAAAGCGTCTCGTACACGCTGCCCACAGACCGTGCCCAGCAGGGGAGCGATGCCAAGTCTGCGCGCGGCGCGGTGGGCTCGAGCCGTCGACGGCGCGGCGGCGCGCCGAGGCCGGCCCCTCCGACGGCGGCCGCGCGGGCACGCGGCGCCGGGGGGCCGTGGGTGGGCGGTGGAGTTTCCGCAAGCGCCCCTTCCCCTTCGCCTCCTCGTTCATGACCATGTTCATCATCATCATCATCATCATCATCATCATCATCATCATCATCATATCATCATCATATCATATCATCATCATCATCATCATCATCATCATCATCATCATCATCATCATCATCATCATCACCATCATTACCATCATCATCATCATCATCATCATCATCATTATCATCAGCATCATCATCATCCTCATCCTCATCCTCATCCTCATCCTCACCTCGTCCTCGTCCTCGTCCTCATCATCACCATCATCAGACGCAGCATCATCATCCTCATCTTCATCATCATCATCATCATCATCATCATCAACATCATCCTCCTAATCCTCATCCTCATCATCAACATCGTCGTCGTCGTGGTCTTCACCAACACGAACATAATCATCAGACATATGTTCATCATCATCGTCACATTCATCATCATCATCATCATCATCATCATCATCATCATCATCATCATCATCATCATCATCGTCATCATCAGCATCATCAGCATCATCATCATCATCATCATCGTCATCGTCATCGAGAGCATCATCGTTAGCATCATACCGATTATCATACTCATCCGTAAGTATCATCATCAACATCATCATCACCATAACCATCTCCATGATCATAATCATCATCATCATCGTTTTCATCGTCATCGTCATCCACCTATTCATCGTCATCGTCATCATCGACATCACCACCACCATCATCAGCACCACCAGCATCGTCATCAGCATCAGCATCAGCATCAGCATCAGCATCATCATCATCATCATCATCATCATCATCATCATCATCATCATCATCATCATCATCATCATCGCCATCGTCATCGTCATCGTCATCATCATCAGCATCGTCATCATCAGCATCATCATCAGCATCATCATCACCATACTCATCATGATCATCATAATCATCAGCAACAGCATGAACATCATCGTCACCACCACCATCATCATCATCATCAGCATGGTCATCGCCATCGCCGTCGACGTCATCATCATCATCATCATCATCATCATCATCATCATCATGATCATCATTACCAGGCTTCTCATCATCAGCAGCAGCATCAGCATCATCAGCATCAGCATCAACAGCATCCGCACGAGCATGAGCATGAGCATGAGCATCATCATCAGGCATCTTCATCAGCATCATCATCATCAGCATCACCACCATCATCGTCATCAGCATCATCATCATCATCATCATCATCATCATCATCATCATCATCATCAGCATCGTCATCATCAGCATCATCATCATCATCATCAGCATCATCATGATCTTCACAATCATCCCATCCTCTTTCTTTCTTTGGCGCGGCGCAAGCAGCCTAAGCTACAGCCGTTTGAGCCTAAGCTACAGCCGTTTGAGCCCTCCCCCTCCTCCTCTTCCTCCCCCCCTTGTCCTCCCCTCATCATCCTTCTGCGTTTCTCATCCGGTCCTGCTTGGTTCCCCCTCCTCCTCCGACTCTTGCCTCGTCTGGCCCGAAACTAGCTGCGCGAAGCAATTCTCATACCCCCCTCCCTACCAAGGGTCCCCCTTCGCGCCAGATCTGGCCTGAGACACGGGGCCCCAGGGCGAGGAGGCCCTGAACAGTGCACAGGCTCAACCCCAAAGCTCTTCCCTAAGCCTCATCTCCTCTTCCTCCTCCAGCCTCCTCCGCCGCCTCCTCCTCCGTCTCCCCTGCCTCCTCCAGCACCGCCACATCCCCCACCTCCTTCTCCTCCTCTTCCTCCTCCTTCTCCTCCTCCTCATCCTCCTCCTCCTCCGCAACCCTCCTCCTCCTCCTCCGCAATCCTCTTCATCCTCTTCCTCTTCCTCCTCTTCCTCCTCCTCCTCTCCATGGACCTCTCCCAGGGTGCGTTCTGACCAGAATTTCGATGCGAATACAGCGGTGGCGACGAGGGCCTCCCAGGAGGCCCGAAAATGCGGACACGAGGCAAAGATAGCGGTATCGGTACCCGTGCCTCCTCCGACTCTCCTCCTCCTCCTCCTCCTCCTCCTCCTCCTCCTCCTCCTCTTCCTCCTCCTCCTCCTCCTCCTCCTCCTCCTCCTCCTCCTCCTCCTCCTCCTCCCTGCAGCTCCTTCTTTCGCCCTCAGGGGGCGGCATCGGCGGATCGGCCGCGGGGGCTCGCGGGGGGGCACGGCTTCATTCGTCATTGGAGCCGGCCCCGTCCGCCGCCTCGGCGGGGCGTGGGGGGAGGAGGGGAGGGAGCGGGGTAGACTGGGGCGGAGGACGGAGGGAGGGAGAGAGGGAGGGACGGGGAGAGGAGGGTCGGGGGAGGGAGGGAGGGAGGCAGAGGAGGGAGGGAGGGACGGAGGGAGGGAGAGGAGGGAGAGGAGGGAGAGGAGGGAGAGGAGGTAGGGAGGGACGTGGATAGGAGAGGATCGGGGGAGAGAATGGGGCGTCGGATTCGCTCGTCGCTGGAGCAGGCCCCGAGGAAGGGCGAAGCACATCCCCTCGTCCTGCGCAGCTCGACCCCCTCCTCGTAACCAGCCCCCGAGCTCACTCGCCTCCATGGAGTTCAAAAGCCCAGGGAGATGTCAAGCTCGGACGCGGGCAAATGCGCGGCCAGTGCTGCGACGCCTCCAGCCGCGAGCGGGCGCGACGGCCGCGCCCTTGGCCGCGGCCACGGCAGCCGCCACGGCGGGTGCCGTATGAGCTGCCTCCGCAGAGCCCCATGGTGGCCGCCCCTCCGCTCCCGGCCCACCCCTGCCCCCGCCCCCGCCGGCGCCCCCGCCGCCCGCCACCTGGCGGGCCCTGCTGGGACGGCCCAAGACGACCCCGACGACCCCGCCCCTCCACCCACGACGACCCCCGACGACCCCCCCGCTGCCGCCGACGGCCCACGACGACCCCGCGGCTGCCGCCGACGCCCCCGCCCCCTCCCCGCCCCCCGCCCGCCCCCAACGTGCGCGTTTGCCTGCTGCTGCCTTTGCCTCCCCCCTCTCCTCCTGCATGTTGGCGTTTGCCCGCCGTGTTTTCCCTCTTCCCCCTCCCTCCTCCTCCTCCTCCTCCTTCTCCTCCTCCTCCTCCTCCTCATCCTCCTCCTCCTGGCCTCCCTCCGTGCTTGGCGCGGGCGCGCGCGCCTAACGGCGAGGTCTGGTGGCTCACGCCCCGCGGCCGCATCCTCTCAACGTTCGCTCTCGCCGCGCGTTGTGCGCAGCGGTCGTTTCCCCCTTCGTCCTCGTTCTCGTCCTCCTCCTTCCCCTTTCTTGTTGGCCCCTCTCTGCGCTGCAGCGCTGCCGCCTTGCGCGCGCCCGCCCGCGAAGGCGGTCGGGCGTAGCCATCCGAAGCTGGCGGCTGCCCCCGGGGAAGGGCCTCTCACGGACGGCATTCTGAGAGAGTGCTGGTTTGCCACCCTGGCTCCTGCTCTCGGGCCTAGCGACGCAAATAGAGGAACAAGAACTATGCACATACACCAATTCTGGCCAGGCCCGTCCTGAGCCCAGGATCGGTGCATACGCCCTCCTACCTTGGCCAGGAAGGCATATGCACCGATCCTGGGTCAAGGATGGGCCTTGCCAGGATCGGTGCATGTGCATAGTTCTCTTCGCCCGAGCAACGGCGGACGGGCGCGGCCAGCAGATGCTCTTCTCCCCTTCGGTCCGGGTCAGGGGCCTCCGGCCCGCAGGCCGGAGGGAGCGGGCACGCTGCACGCATGGGCGTCGGCGGCCCGAGCGAGCAGCTCTTGCGTCGGCTTGGACACGTGATCTCACAAACTGCAAGGAACCCTTCGAATCGGCACGGAGGCAGGATGGAGCCACTCGTGGGCATGGTGTCTCGCGCTGGCAATGCCATCTTCGAGCCTCGGTCCCCTCTCCGCCCCTCGACAATCGCACCGCGATGCCCTGGACTTCGCGCCAGAGCCTCGATGCTCAAACTCCAATGCCTCCTCCTCTACTCGACCCCCGAACCCAAATCGCATAGCCTCAATCCCAGAAGCCTGGGAGGAGGGAGAAGGGTAAGGAGGGGAGGAGGAGTGAGGGGAAGGAGGGGGGAGATGGTGAAAGAGGGAGGAGGGGGATGGGGAGGAACAGAAGCCAGGGAAGTAGAGGAGGACGAACGAAAGGGGGCCTTTCCCCCCCCCTTGCTCACCTGTGCCTCCTCCTCCTCCTCCTCCTCCTCCTCCTCCTCCTCCTCCTCCTCATGTTCCGCCTCGACCCCGTTCCTCGCCCTCCTCCCCTTCTCATTTACGTTGCACGGCCTCTGCCTCTCGGAGGCGCAGCATCGGACCCCCCCCCCATCCTCCTCCTCCACCCGACGCGCCGCCCGAGCACAATGACGGGGAGCCCGCGGACACCTCCACGGCCGCTCCAGTGAGCATGCTCCCCGGGGAGAGCCGGCTGTCTGAGACAGCGGCCACTCACAGAGGGGAGGGGTCTGCCAGCCAGGGCTTCTCGAGACTGGGCATACCTGGGAGCTCCTCGACGACAGGCACGACAGTGTAATCACCCGCGTGCTCGAGCGACCGCCCAGCGCATCGTGCCCCCTGCACCTCATCCAGCCTCGGTTCCCTTCCCCAGCCTCACCAACCTCCCCCCTCCTGCACAATCCTCCCTCCTCTCTCCTGGCTCCTCGAGGTCCTTCGCCGGCTCTGGCGCCCTCTCCCCGGGCCCCTGGGCCCTGCAGAACATCTGCTCGTGATGGACCGGCATCCCTGGCGGAGGCTCCAGGGTCACCTGCCAGGGTAGGACCTGCTTCCACCAGGACCCGTTCCCTTTGTTCAGTACGTACTGCAGTGTTGGTGCCACTATGGGTGTTGCACGAACGGGTACGAGGCGGACGATGGGGAGGAGGAGGAGGAGGAGGAGGAGGAGGAGGAGGAGGAGGAGGAGGAGGAGGAGGAGGAGGAGGGGGAAGAAGCGTAAAAGGAGGAGGAGGAGGACGCTTAGGAGGAGGGAGGACGATGAGGAGGAGAAGGAGGAGGACGAGGAGAAGGAGAGGAGAGGGGAGGATGAGGGCGGAGGGTGAAGGGAGCAAAAGGAGGGAGGAGGCAGTTTGGCGGAGGATGACGATGGTGCTGATGATGCTGATGGTGATGATGATGATGATGATGATGATGATGATGATGATGATGATGATGATGATGATGATGCAGTTGATGATGATGACGATGACGATGATTATGACGACGATGACGATGACGATGGTGGCGACGATGACGATGACGATGATGATGGTGATGTTGATTGTAATGGTGATCATGCTGATGATGACGATGATGATAATGCTGATGAAGATACCTGATGATGATGCTGATGCTGATAATGATGATGATAGGGTGGTTGTGATGACGATGGAAATGGTGACGCTGATGATGCACATGATGAGGTTGATGGTGATGGTGATGATCATGATAATGCTGCCGACGATGATGATGATGATGATGATGATGATGATGATGATGATGATGATGATGATGATGATTGAGAGGATGATGATGCTGATGCTGATACTAATGCTGATGCTGATGATGATGGTGCTGATGCTGATGCTGATGCTGATGCTGATGGTAAGCATGATGCTGGTGACACTGATCATGGTGGAGATGATGATGAGGATGGTGGTTCTGGTGGTGGTGGTGGTGGTGACGATGATGTGTATGATGCTGATGCTGATGCTGATGATGATGATTATGGTGATGGTGATGATGGTGATGACGCATATGATGATGCGGCGTATGCTGCCGGTGATGGTTATGATGATTTTGATGACGATGATGTTGATGATGCTGATGGTGGTTATAATGATATTGATGACGATGATGGTACTGATGATGATGATGATGACGACGATGATGATGATGGGAGGACGATGATGATGATGCTCATGATTACGGCGACGACGATGATGATGCTGCTGATGATGCTGATGTTGATGATTATGATGGTGATGGTGCTGCTGATGCTGTTGCAACCGATGGTGATGATGATGTTGATGCTGCTGCTGATGATGCTGATGATGATTACGATGATGATGCTGATGCTGATGCTGATGATGATGGTGGTGGTGGTGATGGTGATGATGAGAATGATGATGGTGGTGATGATGGTGGTGGTGTTCATTTCGATGGTGATGGTGATAGTGATGGTCATGGTGATGACGATGAGGACGAGGAGGAGAAGGAGGAGGGAAGGAGGAAGAGAAGCATGAGGAGGAGGAGAAGGAAGGCGAGGACGAGTACGAGGACGAGGCGGACGATGGGGAGGAGGAGGAGGAGGAGGAGGAGGAGGAGGAGGAGGAGGAGGAGGAGGAGGAGGAAGAAGCGTAGAAGGGGGAGGAGGACGCTTAGGAGGAGGGAGGACGATGAGGAGGAGGAGGAGGAGGAGGACGAGGAGAAGGAGAGGAGAGGAGAGGAGAGGAGAGGAGAGGAGAGGAGAGGAGGAGGGAGGACCTGCAAGAGCCAGGAGGACCGCCAGGAGCCAGGAGGAACTCCAGGAGCCAGGTCACAGAGTGCTCGCACCCTGCCAGTCGGATGTAAACGTCGCCATCGTCGCATCGTCATCGCCATCATCGTCATCATCGTCATCGTCTTCCATGGCGAACTACGGTGAAGAGGTTTTGTTCACCGCGGTTCGGCGGCGGCGGCCCCTGCGTCACGCGATGCCTTGCAAGCCGATCGCGTGTCCCTCTGCTTCGCGGGACTGGAGGCTGGGAAGCGCTCGGACCGCTGATGCCCAGGAGCCCGGACGCCCTCAGGGACTCGGCCTGTCGCGCCGACGAGGGGCAGGCTCAGCGAGGCGTGCATGACAGGTACGATTCCCGACCGTACACTCGGCCCTCCTCATCGGCCACATGCAAGAGAGACCCTGGGCAAGAGTCACCTCTGGGGGCAGCGGAGGGGCCAGATCCGAACGCGCGGGCCGCTGCCGAGGGAACCAAGCGCGGACCCGAAACAAAGGTCAATCTTGCGTAGGGCCACGTTGCGATCGTGTTGTAATCATTGTTTTGCCGATCCGCGCGGGCCCTCGCCCCCCCCCCTCCCCCCCCAGCCTTGAAGTAGATCTTGGTTGTTTTTGGCGCCAGTTTCGAGCAGGTGGAGTCCCCCCTCACAGGACGCACTGTCGCAAACAGTCGCACTAAGCAGAGGTCCAGAGCCCCCCCCCCCTCCCTCCCCCCCTCTTCGCTCAACGTCGAAACGCCGAATAAAAAAACGCCCACCTTTGGGGGGACAGAAGGGTACCGATACTGCTACCCCCCAGACCTCTCGACGGGTGCGTCCTGACCAGAATTTGGAGGCGAACCCAGCCGTTGCGACGAGGGACGGGTGGCGGCACCGACCCCGCCCAATTGGACGCCCGAATTGGGTACGGAAAAAAAAAAACACTGCCTAACAACAAACGTCGTTCAAAAACGACAGCGGCCGCTGTTGTGCAGGCGCCCTTCTGTCTCGAGGGAACAGCGTCCGCGGCGACACTGATAGCGAGTCCTGCTCAAGATGATCAGGAAATGCTGTCGGTCTTTGGACCCATCCTTTCCGCATCAATTTCGAGCGCACAGGGCCCAGGCGAGGATCGGCGACAAGCCCCCCGATATCAAAACCTCACCTTCCTGGGTGGCCTGGGGCAGTCGGGCCCCTATCGGCGAACAACGGGCGATTCGGGGTCGATGCGTCCCCCCTTGTTTTGAGCAGGGACCAGCTGTCCCGGCATTCCTATAGGCCTACCACGAGATGTTCCTAGAACCCAGAAGCATTCCCTGAGAAGAATGACAATGCTCTTAGAACAGAAACCCGATGTGTGCAAACAGGACACTCTCAGCCAGAAGTAGTTATGGTCAGAGAACACTTCGCGCAGACCACACGAGGTCCTTAAAAGCATTTCTTTGGCGGGCAGCATCGGCAAACCAGGTCGCTTCGCCACCGCCTGACTGTTGGCCCATCCCCCCCGATCGTTGCCCCTCGAGTCGGGTCGGGCGAAAGGGGGGGATAGCAAAGGGGGGGTTTGAGAATCAGCTCACGTAGCTGATTTCCCCGGCGCCTCCCGGCGCCGGGAGGCGCCCATGTATGGAGGAATGGGCCCCTCGGCGGGGCCGAAACCAGCTGCATGCAGCAGATTTCGTACCCCCCCCTTTCCCAATGCCCCCCCTTTCGTCCGGCCCGATCGCCCCTCGAGGCGAGCGGAGAGAGCCGGCGGAGGCCTCCTCGCCGGCGGCCGCGGCCGCGGCCGGCCGCGCCGCGCCCCCGCCCCCGCGGAGCACGGGCGGCGCGGCGGGCGGGGGGAGCGCGTCGCGGAGCAGCTCCTGTCGGGCGCTGGCGGAACTGAGTTTAGTGGGACCCGGTTTGGTGATGTGTACCGGGGATGGACAGACCCCCCTTTAGTAAAACGTGGTTTAGTGAAAACGACCTGAGGCCCAAACCTGGCGGGCGCAGGCCTGGAAAATAACGGCCACGGCGCCCTCTCGAGAACCGAAAACGGACAATTCACTAATCGACGTGTCACTGTTGGGGGTTCTGTCCACCCCCGAGTGTACCGGGGGGCGCCCTCCCGCCCCGTTCCACTAACCGGAACTGCCGTCCCCCGAAAAAACACCAGCTGCGGCAGACCTGGTCTAGTGATTCTGGCCAACTCAGGGGCTCCAGGGCCCTGCCACTAACCGGGTCCCCTTACCTGGGGTCCTGGCTATACCCGATCCTGGCGATGCTGGCCGGGGGCGGCTCGGGCGGCGGCGCGGCCACGACAGAGCGGCGGCGATGCCGAAGGGCAGCGTGCGGCGGACGTCTCGCGCGGAGGGTAGTCGAGTGGGGGGTGGATTACAGAATCGATTCACCCCAAAACTGATTTCCACGTCGAATCTACAAAGAATGCGCGCACTTTTCGTAGATCTACGAAAATGCTGCTACATCGTGTCCGTTGCTTCGACGGCAAACTCAATTGTGGGGTAAATCCGCCAGCCCCTTTGTGGGGCCGTCAGGCTGCGAGACTGAGGCTTGCTGCTCCCTGCTTTCTGCTTCCTATTGTAAATTGTTGAAGTCCACGCGAGCGGTGGGACACGTACAAATACATGATATTCGTGCTCCCGACGCAATAATCCCATGTAAATTACTTGGCATTCGCGTCCACGAGGCCACTCGCGTCCCCGAAGCCATGATCTTCCGCAATCGTAAAATACACCAGATTCGCGCCCCCGAAACCACGATCTCCCGTAAATTACACTGTGTTCGCTCCTCTGGGGCCACGATCCCCCGTAAATTATGCCACGGTTGCGCCCCCGAGGCCACGATCCCTTCTAAATTATTAATATTCGCGCCCCCCAGACTAGTAAACATAGCGAATTGCTGCATTCTTGCGTCCCCGAGGCCATTTTAGCAAAATGTGCAATGTTTGCGTCCTGGATAAATCACGACGGGAGGTTTTTGGCTATTTTGGGCCCCGGGGGGCCCTCGCCGGGCCTCGGGGCCGTCAAACAACGATTCAGGCCAAAAAACCGGTCCCAGGGAAAGGGTCGGGACTTCCAAGGACGCCGTCCTAAAATCCCGACGTCGCGTGTCCGGGTGCACTTCTCTTCAGAACGGCGGCCCGTCGGCCGCCCGCCCGTCGCCGCACGTCCGGCCGTCCGGGTCGGCTCCTCGCCCTTCGCGCGAGCGAGTGCACTTGGTGCAGGTGCGCAGCCTCCTCGCGAGCCTGCTGTCGAGCCCCGGGAGGAGCGGGGCTCGCCGTCGCTCGGGCGCCCACTCCCCGTGCATCCTTCGGCGTCGCGCGCGCGCATTTGTGCGCCAGATGGCACACGATGCTCGAGACCATGTTTCGTGAATCGGCGATAACCAGGGTTGTCCGGGGGGGGGGGGAGGGGGGCGGCCGATTACCTGACCTTCGCGCTGTGGGCAGTCCTGCAAATGCCCACGCCCCCCCCACCCTAGACCTGCACAGCCAGCAAGGTTGGGTTATCCTGGGGGGGAAAAGGGGGCAAGCCCGATAACCCGTGTTATCGCGGGACCCTAGATTACCCTGGCGACGTACGCAACTTTTGCGCAATGCGGGGCATAAGTACATCAGGATTGCTACAACGGCGGCGATGACGTAACATGGACGCATGTGATTTTGCGAGCAGCAATCGGAAATCTCGCAGGCCCCCGATCAAGATATAAGGGCGTCGTAATGGTTACTAACGCACCCCCCCAGGGACGGCGAGGTCTCGCTCAGATCCCCGCCGTGCCTCAGTCCGCAGGACCCACCAGCAGTCCTCGAAAGTGGAGACAGTGTCGCAGATCGCAGCCCCCCAGCGACGGCGAGGTCTCGCTCAGATCCCCGCGGTGCCGAATTCCGCAGGACCCACCAGCAGCCCTCGAAAGTGGCGACAATGTCGCAGATCGCAGCCCCCCAGGGACGGCGAGGTCTCGCTCAGATCCCCGCGGCGCCTCAGTCCGCAAGACCCACCAGCAGTCCTCGAAAGTGGCGACAATGTCGCAGATCGCAGCCCCCCAGGGACGGCGAGGTCTCGCTCAGATACCCGCAGCCCTTGAAAGTGGCGACAATGTCGCAGTCAGATCCCCGCGGTGCCTCAGCCCGCAGGACTCACCAGCAGCCCTCGAAAGTGGCGACAGTGTCGCAGATCGCAGCCCCCCAAGGACGGCGAGGTCTCGCTCAGATCCCCGCGGTGCCGAATTCCGCAGAACCCACCAGCAGCCCTGAAAGTGGCGACAATGTCGCAGATCGCAGCCCCCCAGGGACGGCGAGGTCTCGCTCAGATCCCCGCCGTGCCTCAGTCCGCAGGACCCACCAGCAGCCCTCGAAAGTGGCGACAATGTCGCAGATCGCAGCCCCCCAGGGACGGCGAGGTCTCGCTCAGATCCCCGCCGTGCCTCAGTCCGCAGGACCCACCAGCAGCCCTCGAAAATGGCGACAGTGTCACAGATCGCAGCCCCGTGGCAAGATGCACACACAAGAGGTACCGCAGCCAGGATGCACACATACACACACTCGAGGTACGCGCAAGGCAAGAGCAGACAAGGCGGAAGCGGGAGACGGGAGGCGGGAGGAGGAGGAGGAGAAGGAGGAGGAGCAGGACAAGGAGGAGGAGGAGGAGGAGGAGGACTGGGGACCGCAGTGCTCTATTCAAAACGAATAACCAACCAAGGAGGGTTGGGGAACACAGCTTCTCCTCGATGGCCCTCGCCGAGGAAACACAGCAGCACGCGCGCGACCGAGCGAGAGCGATGCCGAGGGGGGAGCGGGCAGCCCGCTGGCTCTGCCGACGAGCGGCGGGCGAGGGCTGGTGGGTGGGGTGGGGGGAGGGGCCGGGAGGAGAAGGAGAGGAGAGGGGGGGAGGAGGAGGAGGAGGAGGAGGAGGAGGAGGAGGAGGAGGAGAGGAGGAGGAGGAGGAGGAGAGGAGGGAGGAGGAGGAGGAGGAGGAGGAGGGAGGAGGAGAGGAGGAGGAGGAGGAGGAGGAGGAGGAGGAGGAGGAGGAGGAGGAGGAGGGAGGAGGAGGAGGAGGAGGAGGAGGCGGCCCCCCAGAGGGAAGGGGGCGCCACCAGGGCCCCCTATGGACAAGAAAACATACGACACAACACCCCGCCGACGGCCCCACGGGGCTTAGCGAAAACCAGGGAAGCTGGCGCGGGCTTCTGCGGCTGGTGCACGCCACGGACACCGATGGGCCGTGGCGCAACGTGGAGGGCCGTAGGTTGAGTGGGGCTGGGGGGTCAGGTCTGCAGAACACCCCAAACTGACGTCAAGGGGCGCAATCAATCTGTCTGGTCCAACTGAAGTTGATGCACCACACCCGGCGTCAAGCCAAAACTTTGGACATAAGCGAATGATTGGACTTTGCACATCTTCGCCGGCTTAACCGGCAAGGCGCTTGACCACCTCGACATCCCTTTCCTGGTGGTCCTGCAGAGGATGGCGCTCTCTGACCCTCGGCCTATTCAAGCCGTAGGCGTTTGCTTTGTTTTGTTGTCGACCCTGAGCGAGGAGGAGGAGGAGGAGGAGGAGGAGGAGGAAGAGGGAGGAGGAGGAGGAGGAGGAAGAGGAAGGAGGAGGAAGAGGAGGAGGAGGAGGAGGAGGAGGAGGGGGAGGAGGAGGAGGAGGAGGAGGAGGAGGAGGAGGAGAAGGGGGGGTCGTTTGCTTTCGTTGGTCGACCCTGCGCGGCGACACGTGACAGACTGAAGCGCTGCGGCGCCTTGGGAAGCTGCAGCCGTGGGTCGGACCAACTCTCCGCTCCCCGTCGCCTCCGGCTCGCCATCGCTCGGACGTCCACTCCTCGTGCGCGTGTCGCCTTCGCGCGTGCATATTTTTCTCGCGAGATGATCCTAAATGATCCTCGATGGCCCTCGCAAACGAAAAAAGGCACACGCCGGAGCGATGCCAGGCCAGGTGGAAGATTCGAAAGCCGTGGTTAGCAATGCCCTGGTTTAGGGGGGCCTGGCGCCAGCGTATGGGGCCGAAGCCGGCTTCACGCAGCAGTCCCCTTCTCAGGCCCCCCCGGTGTCCTCGCCCCCCAGCTGCTACTCGCCCGCTGATGCCACGGGCTCGTTCCGACGGCACGCTGACGAAAGAAGGTGAAGGAGGGAGAGGAGAGGACGAACAAAACAAGGGAAGGAAGAGTCAAGAGGTAGAAACAATGAGAGAGGGAGGAGTGAGGGTCTGCCCAACGGGGGATGGGAGCCCGAGTTCTATACTGGTTGTGCGCTGCGAGTGTGCGTTGGCAAGACGCAGCGGCGCTCGCTCGCCTGCGTCGGGGTAACTGAAAGGAGGCGAGGGAAGAGAAGCACGAGGAATAACAAAAGAGATGTGGAGGAGGAGGAGGAGGAGGAGGAGGAGAAGAGGGGAGTGGTGGATGGCTGCGTCGTGAAGCTAACAGCGACAGCAGCAGGGGAATGAGGAGCAGGAGGAAGAGGCAAGACGAGTTGGAGGTGGAGGGGGAGGAGGAGGGGTACGAAACAGGGGGACGAGACGAGGCATAGGAGGATGAGGATGAGGACGAGGAGGAACAACGGCATGAAGAAGCAAGGATGAGTGGAAGAGGGGGAGGTCTCCTGCAGGCTGGACAGCCGCTCGCCTTCGACGGAGGCGGCCAGCTGCGGGTTAGCCTTCGCAGGCTGCCCAGGGGGGGGGAAGGGGGATAGGAGGAGAAGGAGGAGCGAGAAGGGAGAAGGGGGAGGGGGAGGATGACAGGCAGGAGGAGCAGAAGGAACAGGGAGGAGGAAAGGGAGAATGAGGAGGAGAGGCAGGATGAGAGGAATGTAGGAGGAGAACGAGGAGGGGGACAAGGAGGAAAACGCTGAAGAGGAGGAGACGGAGGAGGAGGAGGGGGCGAGAGATGAGGAGAGGCAGGTTGTGAGAACTGTTCGACAACTCCTCTAATGGACAACAGGAAGAGTAGCAGGGAGGAACAGGACATGGAGGAGAAGAGGCAGGAGGAGCGGGGAGAAGGGGGGAAGAGGAGAGGGAGGAGAGGAAAGGGGCGAGGAGGAGGACGAGGGAGGTGGACAGGAGGATGCGGGAGGAAAGGGAGGAGGAGGAGGAGGAGGACCATCGTAAACACAGGCAACGTCAACGACTGCAACAAACCCTCCAGTCCCGAGAGCCCTCACCAGAAGTCCCTACTGCGAGCTGTTGCCCTCACCGCATCAAACACTCCCATTGAACGACGATTCGATAGCCCACTGCGCCTGCCATTCAGGCGAAGGCCCCGTGTTGAAAAACGAATTCAACAACTTCGATGGTCCAATGTGGCGCTCGCCTGCGCGCATTCGTCTTGCATGGCTGCAGCAATTTGAAAGGTGGAGGGTGGGCCGCTTTCAAATTGTGAGCGTTCGCGCCACGCACATTCGTTTGCAAGCGTGTACAACGATTGCACGTACCGATGCCGCGTCCCGTTTTTTCAAGTGTGGCTGTTGCGTTAGCGCCGCGCACATTCGTCTCAAACGGATGTCGCAGCTTCAACGATGGATGGGGGCGTTGTCTAAACATGGTTGTCGCCCCAAACGCCGCGCACATGCGTCTTGAACAAATGCAACAACCTCACGGATGTAAGAATATCATTTTCAACTGTGACTCTCGCTTTCGCGCCGTGCGCATTCGCCCGAAACGTTCGCGCCATTCTCAGGCATGAGGATCTCGCCTGAGCGCCGCGAGCATTCGCTTCAAAACCTGGCAGCAGCTGATAGACTGAGCGGCGGTCGTGTTTCAAATCGTGCGGGGTTCGCCTGAGCGCCGCGCGCGCCCTTTTGTAACGCAGCGTTTAGCAAGATGGGGGGCTGCTCTTCTGACAGCGAACGGACCCCCAACGGCGCAACTAATCCCAGGTTGAGACTGAACCAGAGCCCCAGGAGTGCAAAAGAACAGCCCTCTATCAAATCGGACACGCGCTCAACCTGTGGCCGTTATCGCCAAGGCTTCTCTAGTGAAAAACACGGTGTGAAAAAGGAGCCGTCCTCCATCCCGGTAGCTGCCGCGGGCGTTCACTGCGTACAGACTGTGAAAACAAAACCGCGTGGCGCCACGACGACAACCCATTTTGAAAAAAGAAAGCCCTACATCTGAATTGATGCAAACTGTCGCGGGCAAGAGTTCGCAACACTTGCGCGGGATCCCCAACCTGACAAGGAACCCCCGCCCACCCTTGCAAATCGCGCGGCCATTTACGACGCAAGTGCGTGGCGCTGGGGGGAGAGTCACAGTTTGAAAAGGAACCGCCCTCCATCCCCTTCTGCAAATGTAGCAAGCGTTTAAGAATGATGCTCACGGCGCAAGGCAAGAGACTAGTTTTGACACGCACCACCCTTCATCACCGTAGTTGTGGAAAGTTTTCCGGCGAGTGCGCGCGCAGCTGAGGCGAGAGCCCCATTTTGAACCCCCCCCTCCTCCATCTTTAACCCACGTGAACAATAAATACCGCCGCCACCACCAAACATCCACAGATCACACCTCCCAGAGGCAACACCCCCGAGGGTGGAGCGGTCACTGAATGGCCTTATGTTGGTTGGCTCCCAGAGTCCCAAGTTCGCCGGGCGTGGCCGACGTGGCATGATGCCGAGAGGGGGTGTGCAGGAATCCGCCCCTGCACGCGGAGCTCCAGGGCGGTCGCAGGGACGTCCCCGGCGGTCTGGTCTGCCCCGCCTTCTTTTTGTTTCCTACTTGCGCACCATGGCGTTGGGGGAAATTATGTTTGTAAAATTGCCCCCCAGGTTGATTTCTAAACCTTTCATAACAAAATCAACGGGTGACACGGGCCACCCTCGGAACCGTGAGAAAAACAAATTGTAAATTTGAGATTATGAAAATACATGAAACGCCACCCAGCCTCACAAAAACACAAAGTGACATGTGTCACCCCCGAAACCGTGTGAGAAAATCCAGGTGTAAATTTGGGATTATGGGAGCCATCATAGGGCCATTGAACTTCATACAGAACAACGGGTGGCACGTGCCTCCTCACAAACCATGTGAGAAAAAACAAATATGGATTTCGGGTAGTGAAAGCCAGCGTAAGGCCATCCAGCCGCGCAAAACCACAAACGACACGAGGCACCCCCGAATCCGCGTAAGAAAAAACATTGCAAATTTGAGATTCTGGGTGCCAACATATAGCCAATCAACCTCGCAACAACAACCGGTTACACGTGTATCCTCCGAAACCGCGTGGGACAAAACAATGGTAAAGTTGGGATTCTGGGAGCCAACATGATGCCATTCCGCCTCACAAAGAACAACGGGTGACGCGTGTCACCCCCGAAGCCACGTGAGAATAACGAATTGTAAATGCGCGGTTCTGGGAGCCAACATGAAGCCACTCGACCTCACAAAAACAACAGGGGACACGTTTCACCCCCGAAACCGTGTGAGAAAAACGACGTGTACATTTGGGATTCTGGGAGCCAACATCTGGCCATTCAACCTCACTGAAAAACGGGTGACCCGTGTCACTCCCGAACACGTGCGAAAACAAAACAGCCATTTTACAATTTGGGGATCTGGGAGCCACCATCACGCCATCAAACCTCATGAAAACAACGGATGACACGTGTCACTCCCGGAACCGTCTGAGAGAAACAAATACGCAATTTGGGAGCCTGGGGGCTAACATAAGGCCTTTCGGCCTCATAAAAACAAAGGGTGACTCGCGTCACCCCTGAAACCGTGTGAGAGAAAAACCATGTGTAAATTCTCTCGGAGAAAGCATTCAACTTCACAAAGAACAGCAGGTGAACGTGTCACCCCCGAAACCGCGTGAGAAAAACGACTTGTAAATTTGGGACTCTGGGAACCAACGTAAGGCCATTCAGCCTCACAAAAAAACACGGATGACACGTGTCACCCCATAAATCGTGTGAGAAAACTACGTGTAAACTTGAGATTTTGGGAACCAACTAAACGCCACGCAACCTCACAAGAACAACGGGTGACACGTGTCACCCCCGAAACCAAATGAAACAAAAACATGATACACTTGGGATCCTGGGAGCCAGCATAATGCCAACATAAGCAAATATACATGGGACATCTGAAATGTTGGGAGTTAGAATAAGGCCATACGACGGGTGGCACGTGTAACCCTCGAACCCGTGCGAGAAAGAAACGATTGCAAGTTTAGGAATCTGGGAGCTCACGTATGACCATTCTGTGTCACCCCCGAAACCGTGAGAAAAACCAATGGTACATTGGGGCTTCTAGGGAACAACATAAGGCCATCCAGCCTCGCTCAGAGCCACGGCTCCCTCGCTCACGCCCGCCCTCTGGGGAGCCCAGGAAGGACGTACGCGCCAAGCCACGCACTGCAGGTTCGTGTCGTGACGAAGCTGACGTTGATTTCTGACAGCGCGTGGATTATTCAACCTTGGATGATCGGCGGCTTTTCGATCGTCAGATCGTTCCATGTTAGACCCGCGGCGGGGTCGCCGCCGCGTCGATACGACGCGCGCCTGGCATACATGAACGTGCCATCTCCGCTTGCGAAGCCGTCATCACGTCACCAAGGCGCTTACGTGATCTGCTCTCTCGAAAACTGAATTCGTGTGCGACTACGTCTTCGCTTTGCTCCCGAGCCCTCCTTCGCCTCGTTCCCTCGAATGCCTGCCTCCCTCTCCCCCTTGATCCCTCATCCTGGCTCCTTCAAACCAAAACTCGCGTGCTCAGTGGGGCCTTGATCATGCCCGAAATCTCGTTGGCGTCGTGCATCTCCCTGTGCCCCGCGACGAAGCTGAAGGCTTCGCCCTCGCGGAAGAAGATCTGCCCCGGCCGTCCGTGAATGCGACGTTGCTTTTCTTCGACCTCCTCCTCTTCCTCCTCCTCCTCCTCCTTCTCTTCCTCCCTTCCTCGTCCCTTCCCACCTCCCCTTTTTTCTCGTCCTCCCTGGTTCTCCCCCTCACCCCCCCCCCTTCCCCCGTCCCTCCTCTGATATCCCCTCCCCATCCCCCATTATTCGAAGTCCTCCTCCTCCTCCTCCTCCTCCTCCTCCGCCTCATCCTCCTCCACCTCCCGCGTCAGAAACCCGTAGCCATTTTGGCTCAAGCCTACCGTGGGCAGGTGGCGCCTGCTCCCATCTTTTCAGCCTGCCGTAGGCAGGTGGCGCCTGCACCCTCTTTCTCGCCATTACGCCCTCCCGCAGGCGCCAGGCGCCTGCTGCTCGCCATCTGCGGCTGGTCTTGCTCGTGCTGGGCAGCGCCATTGTCGTGGAATCATGGGGAAAAGAGGCACAAAAGGTCGTCCACAGATCAGGCAGCAGCGTGAATACTTCGTCTGCGCCAACCCGAAGTGCGGTGGCTGGGGCTACTGCGACATCTCTCAGTTTTGTGGACAGTGCGGGAAGAAGTTTCAAGGTCGTGGCAAAGGACGCGGAGATGACAGGGGATCTCTGCCACCAGTGCCAGCGGAAGCCAATCGTTGGAAAGGAGGGAAGCGCGCAGCCAACGGCATTAAGGATAATGACTGGCAGGGGCACGCTCAACACCAGCCTGACGCAGCAACCGCAGCGACACCATCGACGGACCAGGACCAAGTCGCCACATACCAGGAGCTGGTGCAGTTTTGGAAGGAGCGAGAAGGGCCAACTGGGGTCAACTACGCCAAAGCTATGGAACAGCTCAAGTTGGCCAAGCAGACGGTGCTCAAGGCGAAGCCGCTTGACCAGCAGGCGCAGTCGCTGCGAGACCAGATCGAGCGCAACAAGGAGAAGATCACGAAGGCAGAGATGCAGGCGGCCGAGAAGCTGGAGGCGATATCCACGCTCGCCGACGAGTACTCGGACCTGCAGGACACTATCGCGGCGGCTCGTGAGGAGATGCCCCAATTGGAAGCGCGGCACGCGATCACGGTGCACTCCGTGGCCGCCGCCACTCCCAAGCCGCATGTCAACCCGTTCCCTTCGCTCGCCCAGCTGCGCGAGCAACTCCAGCAGGGCCCAGTCACCAACGTGCCGCAGCACATCCAGCAGCAGGTGCACGCGCTTGAGGCGAGCATCACGGAGGCAGTGCAGAAGTTGGTGGTGCACCCTCAGCAGGCCCCAGGCGGAGCCACCGCAGGATCCGCAGAGGGGGCCCCCAGCCAGACTGAGGCGCCAGCGGGGGCTGTGGCAGGCGCATCCGCGCCACCAGCGACGCCCACGCCGGCTGCGGCGGCGAACACCGAGGGGATCGATCACCTCCCGAAGGTCGGCGAGGGCGAAAACGGCAGCGACATGGACGAGTCATCGGTCGTCTCGGCCAAGAGACTCCACAGCGAGGCAGGAGCTCTTCACCAAGCTCTCGGCAGCATCGCGAGGGAGGACTCGTTGCAGGAGGCCAAGAAAGCGAAGGCAGCCCTCGAGAAGGCAGCTGCAAAAGCTAAGGCAGCAGGCAAGGGCTCACAAGGGCCTCAGCCGTATGGCGGGTAATATTCAGCCAGTTCAGTCCCTCGGTGCCGCCGCGATCAACGGCAGCTGCTGGGCGTCTGTCCAGCAATCTGTACAGTCATCAGAATCCGAGAAGGTCTTCGTCATCCTTTGCCAAGAGGTGAAGAGATCAGATGACAAACGTGTTCTAGCAGTTCAATGGTGTGAACGGCATGGCTGGAAAGCCATTTTCTCTGATTGCATCGCCAGCGACTGTGGCTATCCCATGAGTGGCGCGGGCATCCTGGTGCGCGACGGCCACAATATAGGGATACAGCCAGCAGAGATCCCCCCATACATCCCCAGCCACAGAGCGACGGCAGCGATTTTGGAGCTTCCAGGTCACAGCCCGATCTGTTTCTTAGCAGCGTATTTTGAAGACTCTGTGGGCTTGAGCAGTACCAATTTGTATCTCTTGGCAACTGCAGGCTGGTGTCAACAGAAGTACAAGGTGCCTGTCGTTATGGGCGCTGATTTCAACATGAATCCTTCCATGGTCACAGCCTCAGGCATATGTGATCGAGCAGGTTTGGAGCTGGCGTATCCTGATGGGTACACAATGTTCCAAGGGAAGGCCCGTAGTAAGATCGATTATTTCATGATGAGCTCATGTTTGAAGAGTTCGGTGCAGTCTATCCACGTGCTGAAGCAGTACCCTCTATCTCCACATCGGCCTGTTCGCTTGGAGTTTGCGATTGGGGCCAATGTCATGATCCCCGTCTTGAAGAAATCCCAGAAACTCCCCACCAGAAGGCCCTTCGGCCCGCCTCTGGAGGTTCTTCCCTGGACCCGTGCTTCGGCGGCGTTGGGAACTCTTGAATTTATCCTGGACGAGATAGAGGACCCCGCTCAGCAGCAAGCAGCACTAGACAAGACATATGAAATATTTGTTGGAGATATGGCAGTAGCTATAAGTAGAGCGACGAACGCTGTTATCAAACATCCTGGACATAGATGTGCTCCCCCTACCCTGGTTTGGCTACCAGCTAAAGCAATAGAGAGTCAGCACCGAGTAGACTGGAAGTCGTACTGGAAGTCGGTACGTTGGCTGCTCAACCAGGCGATGGAAATCCAAGGTGCCATCGCCAGGAAGCAGCCAGATGATTTGCCCGACCTGGTGCAGGTGCTTGGAGGGCCTCCTGCTGAGTTTCACGAGAATGAGGAGCTGGCCATGCTGCTCAACAGGACCCGCACCCTCAGTGAGAGCCTCCAGCAGGACATCCAAGTTTTGGGCCCAGAAGGTTTTTCGAACAACGCCAGGGACATCTTTTCGGAGCTGCACGTCCAGGCCAAGAAGTTTTTGGGCAAAGAAAAGAGTTCGAAGCCTTTGGGAGCTACTCAGTCTTGGAAGCAATGGGTTTCTAACAAAATGACCTCTGGAGTTGGGTGGGCCCACCGATGGACCAAGAATGTCCAAGCTTGGAAGCCAACCAGAACTAAGACGCCCCGCGGGGACTTCTCGGGGAGCCCCACGGAGTTGCTCTACTCGGAGGTCAGAAGGCTAACGAAGATCGGGGGGACGAGTCAGGTCAAGCGCCCAAAGGTCCCTGGAGATCCTCAAGCTGCCCTCAGGCTCCCCGAGATCACCCCCAGCATGCTTAAGAGGGCCTTGCGCAAGTTTGGCCACTCCACGGCGGAGACGTGGGACGGCATCCACCCGTGTCACTTCAGGCTGCTGACGTTCGATCAGCAGAAAGATTTTTGCAGGCTCCTCACGTGCGTGGAGCGCGCCGGTAGTATGCCCTCTCAGCTTCTTGCAGTGATATCAGTTCTTATCCCGAACCACAAACCTTCAGGGGGCGGTCCTTCTTATCGGGTGATAGGGCCCATGCCAGCTGTTTATCGAGTTTGGGGCAGAATTCGTCAAGGTGAAGCAAGAAGCTGGGAGCAGAACGATAGGCGAGAGTTTTTGGCCCACCAAGCTGGGAGATCCATCTTGGGGTTGGTGTACCGACGATCTTTGCAGGCAGAGAGCGGCGCAGTTCAAGAAGAAGAGCTGCACTCCGCTTCCACCATGTGGGACTTGACCAATTATTACGAACATGTTAATATAGAGAAACTACACCGACGTGCTCTAGATACTGGTTTTAATGGAGCTCTTTTGGCTACTATACTAAATCAATATCAAGGTCAACGTATGATTACTCTGAATAATCAAACATCGCATGCAGGCTACCCCACAAAAAGGGATCCCAGCAGGCTGCAGTTTCGCGACCTTCCTTGTGCAGGTGTATTGCATCGAGGATTTAGACATTGGGGCCAGTAATGTTGAAGTATCCCTCCACATGTTCATTAATGACCTCCTCCTCCTCTTCTCCCACAGGTGCAAAAAGACGGTTGTCTCCGAGTTGAAGCGTGCAGCTGCCAGTCTTTTGTGTGCCATCCAATGCGAATTGGAGCGTTTCATTGACATCGACAAGTCTGCTGTGCTAGCCTCGGCGTTCGACATACAAAAGCGTCTAGCAAAAGCACGACGGAGATACTCAGGTTCGGTCCCTCACCATGCGGCCAATCTAGGCGTTGATTTTCGGGCTGGCCAAAAACGAGGAAGAGGTATTACAAGTTCTAAGCTTCGAGATCGTCATAAGCAACTGAAAGGCCGACTTTATCGTATAAGGGCAGCACAAAGAGCTGGAGCCAACACCCTCAAGCTGTACAACACGGGCTTCGGGCAAGCCCAATTCTACGGGGCGGAAGTGGTAGGCCTAGATGATAAAGAACTGAAAGCAGCTCGTAAACTCTATCTTCAAATAACAGGTCCAGGTACACCAACGCGTTCTAGTACGTTGGCTCTGTGCTTACTTGGCGACCCTTGTTGGAGACCAGGTGTTGGCCCCATCACCATTTGGTCGCAGCTGGTGTGGCGCGCCATGATAGGTCAGAATTATCCTGGCTACGGTTTGCCTCAACTTCGCGCGCGAGCTGCGGCAGTGCTCGAAGCCCCGCCACGGACGTGGCGCGAGTGTCGAGGCCCGTTTGGAGCAGCAATATTTAAGTGCACAGAGATTGGGCTGGCAGTTCTCCTCGCCCTTCACGTTGGTAGATCAGTACCAGAGGACCCACATATTAACCCCCACCTCTCCCTGCATGCTCCAGACTTGGATGAAGCAGGCCCGGGGCGAGCAGTTGCATGTCCATGCCGCGACGAAGTTAGGGCTCCAAGGCTCGCTCGACACGTCCACGGCAAGGAAGGTTTTACATGGTCCAGGGCTCAACCAGACCGAGAAAACCACCCTCCTGGCCTTCCTGACCCAGTGTATTTGGGCCCATTCGAGTTTGAAAAAAGCAGGGTACCCAGCAGAAACATAATGCCAATGTGGACACCCAACAGACGATCTTCATCATAGACTCGCGAGTTGCC